GGGCCCCCCCCCCCCCGGGGGGGGGAGAGCGGGGGAGGCCCCGCCGGCATCGCGGCGCCTCCTCCGGCAGCGACCCGCCCGCGCTGGCTCGTTTTCTCTCGGTGCTGTCACTCTTCGTGTTCAGGCCTCTCCCTGCCACTGGGGAGGCCGCTGTCTGGCTCACTTTCCATGGCGGCAGCTGCGCGCCCGAGGAACAGCATGGTTCCCGCGGCTGCGGGCCCGAGAGAACCGGCCAAACTCGGCGGGAAGCGCTGCCAGGGCGCGGGCGCTCGCTGTGCCGAGCAGGGAGTCCCACAGACGCACTGTGTGCCCGTTAGCCTAAGCGGGAGAAGGTGCGGTGGGCAGCGCAACGTACAAAGCCTCCCGAGAGCAGGGAGCCACGCGCCAAGGTGGAGCTGAAGCCACGTAGGCTCGGCCTCGCGTGTGCGTGGGAGCATTTGGGCGCACCGGTGTACCTGAGGAGAGATTGTACGCGTGAGACTGCGCAAAGTTAGTGCGCCTATCTGTAAGCACGCGTAGCTGTTAGGAGGTGTGGGCTTCCTGTGTGCTCACAGGTGCACCAAGGCAATGCATGCACGACACTCAAACGGGAAGAGAAGGTGGTTCAGATCGATGAATAGACACAGTCTGTATCTGCTGACGTGCACTCAAAGACTTCTACATAGAACTTCAGGGAAAAAGAACATGAGTGCAAACCAAGCCTTCATAGAACCCTGGTGTGTATATATATATATATACAAACATACGTGTGACAAGCAGCTGAAGCATAAACAAGCATACTATGATATGAAGATATACAAACAGCAGAGGAACAGATGGATAAAACCATGAATTTAGTTACCATATTTTCCCATCAGACATACATATTTATTATTAATCTATTGATATCAACAGTTTACAGCAAATACATGAGCTTTATGGGGCATGCAGATAAACTCGATACGTACTTACAGTTAAAAGATTTGCTTAATCGCCCAGCCTGAACACCTGCGAGAGCAAATTTTTTTTTACTTCATCATCTCAGACTGACATAGCAATTTTGGAAGGAGTTAACACCTTCTGTATACAGAAGCAATAGGGCAATATATTTCCTTCCAGAGAATGGGATACCCTGGAAGAACTAAAGTCAAAGGTAACGGATGCTATCTTGTTGGTTTGCAATATCCCTGACGCAACATTTTTAAAAGGGCAGTAGCTGGACATAGGGGATGAAGACTGGCATTTTGTTTTCTTCCCTCCTTTACACTCTAGGCCAGATGGAGCCTGTGGGATAGAGTGAGCAGTAGCATCTGCTCTGAGAGCAAATGGTCAAGCCCAGATGAAAAAGCTTCCATAGTGTCAAGTGGGGATAGGAGAGAACCGAGAGACAGCAAGCTGGGAATTCATAGTATTAAATGTAGGGACAGTGAGTCTCTTGAGTGGAGTTAGGAATGGGCATGGTCTCAGAAAGAACAGAAAGAGAGACTGTTCTTTGGGACTCAGGAGAGAATATGTAGGTTTTGTTGTATCCCAGAAGGCCACTAAAAATTGTGTTACTAAGAATAAGGACCTACAGCTTGCTTTGCAAGCATACAGCGGGAGAGGAAACCTCTATACGTACCCTTTTGTTATAATCCATCTCACTCTTAGTTCCTCTTTTTCGAAAGCCACCTTGTTTCAGTTGGGGCTGTAATGAAACACAGCTTTAGAGTTTAGAATTTTTAAAGTGCTTTTGGTATACTCGTGGCAGGAAAATGGCTCTAAGCAGTTCCATTGCAAAGCTCCGGCTGACTGACAGATTCTGTAACAGCAAGGAAGATATATGGGCTCAGGGTGGACAAGGGAAACTGCTGTCCTTGGTCTGGAAATGACCAGAGTAGAATGGCAAAACAAAGGAAAAGTAGTAAGTAGGAAAGATAAGTCATGTTGCTCAAATAGTGAACAGATGCACAATCATTTCTTTTTGCTGATTAGATAGTCCTCAGTTCCCAGGTTCCAGGCATACGTAACCACATTTCTCCTCGTGTGCTGGAGTTTCTTATTACCATCTCATCTGCAATTCTTTGGCAATTACCCTGCTTACAAAAAGTCCCAACTTGTCACCAAGGCATAGAAGTGTCAAACTCTTGGAGTCCCACTCCTGGAGTTTCCCTTTCCAGATGCCTTTGCTCCCTCTAACAATAATACTCACAAAAAAGGTGCCGTGCTTTTTTGGTTTTTTTTTTGTGGTAGTGGGGAGGTGGTATTGCAAAGTCGCATAAGGAAGAATGTGTTATAGCAACTGTATTTCAAAGGCTGTTTATTTGAACTGAAAATAGTTACTCATAACTGTTATCAGGTAGGAGAAAGCAGTATACAGAATTTAGAAGATGGATTGCAGCCCTGTTCCAACTGAAAAAAATGTTTGAAGCAGAAATAGGGTGTCTGTCAACTTTTTCAGCTTATCTTGTTTCTGTTGTTGCCCCTTTTGTCAGGCCAAGTAGTAACCAATACTTGAAGCCTTGCACATTTGTTATGTTAGAGAGACAGACTGACTGGCTCAAGAGTGTCTCCTATGCCCTTCTCTTGACATACAAAGGCTGTAGAGTGTCCTGTTTCCTTGAGCTCCGTGAAAGAAAACCAAACTGTGAGGTTAAATATCTTGAAGTAGGCCTGTCAAAAATTTTGCCTGTTTTCGGTGCCCTGTTTGTGGATGCTTCTTTAGAATGACCTCCCTTCTGGATTACTGCGTCCCTTTCTAACATAGCTGGACAGACTGTTCCCTAGCCCTGTGTTTTGAGTGAGCGAACCTGTCAAGCTTCTGATCAGGCCTTTTTATATTTTCTGTTGCACTGTGAGGTAGCTTCTGCTGGTTCCAGCTGTTCTGCTATGTAAGTGGGATGTAATTGCTCCTTCCATTTAGCCTGAAGTAAAGGTACTTAGTAAAGCCATTAGTTCTGCCCTGCTTTATGGGATCACTTGATAGGAGACTAAAAATTTTCCAATGAAACAAGATCTTGTTGAGAAGAGAAACACTGTGAATTCTCATTGCATCTAAAAAGTTAAGGACGTTTCAGCAAAAATGTCACAGCTTAAAAAGGTTGATTCTTAAACTGCAGTTATTTGCTTACCATCAGTAATCTAGTAGTCCATAATAACTATCAAATCGAGTTAGAATGATTTTGCTGTAATTTGTTTATGAAACAAAGTAATTTTCTAGCTTTCAAAATGTCATAATTTCATGAAGTATATAATTAGAATGTGACATTTTTGTCTTCCACCCACTTGGATACTATTCTGTTAAAAAAACACACCTATGCTTTTGACATGGCATGAAAGGCATTTTGTGAAGGTAATATGAGACCGATTTAAGGCAAAATCCACACAGCATGATGTTCTTAAGGTCTCCATTAATAATAAACATTAAGATGGTTAGGCCAAACCTTTTCACAAGGATGGTTCAAACAGCTATTAAGCCTTTGCTTCACATTCAAGAATCTATGGCACTTGTAAAGACTAAGCCATGCCTCCTACAGCAAATTATCGACACTGAGGATATGATTTTACATGAATATATTTGGTGGCACTGCTGCGCATACGCAACCCCTGCCCCAGGTCCCAGCCATTCAGTCCTGCCATTCTGGCACCTTGGTAGTGTACTGGCACAAGTGCATGAGTGGCCACAGTGCGAACCAGTCGGACTGGGAAAATGAACTGATTGAAAAACAAGTGTTCATACTGCTGCTGAGATCACAGCCTCAAATGACTACTTTCCTACCTGTTCACATTCAGTCCTTTCTCTGAGCAACAATTTTTTAAATGAACAGCAGGAACTTTGGACCTGTAATTGCACAGTAGTTGCCTTTTCCTTTTTATTTCCCCCAAAAGCCTGCCATAATTTTCTTCTCACTCTGACTGGTGGCACCACTGCTGCCCCTGCTAGCAGAAAGGGTGCTGAGGCAGTATTAATAAGCTCCTCTTACCCCATCCAGGGCCACTTGAATATCTTTCCAGCGTGCCGGCTTCCAGGGGAACAGTGGGTTGCTCTTGTGGAGCCAGGATGATCCCACAAGGCCTGGTTACCCAAGCTGCACATATATTTCTGGGGATGTGCTCACAACTCTGCAGCATGGTACCTCTCACCACTTGGGAACCAGTGCCCCTGTGGTTTGTGCTGGAGGCTAGCTGCATCCGTTCTCAGACACTGTTGAAATGTACGGTCTTTTCAGACCACATTTATTACAGGCTCTCAGTAGCTAGCTTTAGAGTGCTTTCCTCATGCTCAAAAGCTGAAATTGTTTGTTGTACTGTTGGACCACTTCTTAACTCCAGTCCTAATGGTTAAAGGAATTTTAGTCTTTCTATTAGTAATTTATTACTTGCTAAAGGTTCCTTAACAAGTATAGGGCCAGACTATATAGTTTCACCTGGTGTATTTATTAAAAAAATACCTCTCTGAGCTAAAACTAAACCTAGTTACTTTCATTCCAATTCAAAAAAACTCTCCTCCCCCGCCCTCAAATGAACCCCAGTGCATTAAATTATTAGCGTGCACGTGTGTGTCAGTAATGTTGCTCCCTGGGCAAGTTTATGACACCATTTTGAGATTTTCTACGAATGCTAGTCCACACAAGAATGG